CTCTTTAATTAAGAGACGATTTTGATAAAGGGTAAAATTGAATTCAGTGGCAAAAACTTTTTCATTTTCGATGCCATTTAAAGGTGTGGTGGTAACGAGGGAACCGGGCAAGACAGCATTAAAATTATCACCTGACATTTTTAGAGATTATTGGATTGGGAGTAGTATGAAAGCCTTCTAAGAAATGAGGAAAAGTTCTTAAATAGAATAAAGAGTAAATCAATTGGAAGAGTGATAGTTTTAATTTGGGTCGTTCAAAAACTGTTTATTGCATTAAAAGTGATTTCAAAATTGATGAAGTATTTAAATTTTAATAATTTTCGGAGTTTCCGAATTTCTAGGTTTTTAAATTAAATGTATTTGTAATTTTAGTAAATTAGGTTGCTATGAAGTTAATATATTCCAGTTTCCATTTTGTAATAAAAAAATAAAAGGGTTTATTAATTTTATATATCTGTTTAGTTAAAGCCAAAAGTTATTAAGAAATATTTAAATAATAAAAATATGACTTATGAAATTTATTAAGACAAAAATAAAACCAGTAAATGGAAATTCTTAGACTTAACAAAAGTTTAAAAAACCTTTCAAATTTTGTGAAAATAATATTATTTCCTATATTATTTTTTCACAGTTAATATTAATTTTAGATTTAAAATTTTCAACTAAAATTATTATTATTATTATTATTATTATTAAATAAATGTAAAAAAAAAAAACTATTTTGATTTATATATTTATTTGCATTTTTATTTTTGCTATTAATTTTTAACAGACTTTTAAATGGGGGTCAATTTCATAATTATTCATCAAGGTCATTTTCGTCACTTACCCCTTTTTATTTTGGCTTGAGCAGATCTACATTGAATTCTTTGATGCTACATTATTGCTTAATTTTTTTAAGAGGATATGAAGGTCAAAGGTTTTCTATTTAATACCCTTTGTATTTCCGCTTCTTTCCCTTGGTATCAATTTCATCAGATCCATTTCGATATTGGCCTGCTCCTCTAGTGTTAGTTGCTCTTATCGGTTTTCTGATACTATTTTTGCCAGGAGATTTGATCTTGTCAGTTTTTCCTCCAGTTGTAACTGAATCATCTTTTTGATCTTCCCCGTCGATTGATCCATCGTCATCAGGATGTGTTGGAAGGTAAAATAATTCTTCCTCATCTTCAGGTTCTGATTGAAGAAATTTTGACATCTCAACTGTAGTCACATCAATTTCTTCATCTTCGGAAATTTCACTCTGTTTTACTAATGAATCTATGGACTCGCAAATGTCAAATTCATCTTCACGCTCTTCATACTCGACATTTTCATCAAGCTCTTTAAAATCTGGGGCAAATGCACTCCAATTCTCCTGATGGTTTGTTGCCCATATATATATACTTCCACGTGCTGCGGCTGAGGCTATTATAGAACGCACAGGATGCCATACGAGATCGTTGAGCTGTTCTTTTGGGCCTTCTAGCATCTTAACCAGATTCCCAACATTTTTATCCCATATATAGATATAATGACCCATTTTGTGAGCTGAGCCTATTAAAGTAAATACTGTTAATTCGATCAAGAAAAAAATGATTATAATTTTCATTCTCAAGACTGACCTCCAATAACATATTCGCCGTCGCGATTAAAGCAACATTGGTTCCATTGAACTTTATTCACGACGTCCGTGAAATTTTGACGAAGAAAAAGGATTCCGTCTTGTTCCAGATTAAAAACACGAATTGTTCTATCGTTTGAATTAACTACAATATCTCTGTTGAGTAATAAAGTGATGTGTTAATCAAAATTCCTTATGACCTTAAATAGTGTACGTATTTAAATCTATCATACATACTTCCCATCCCGGCTGAACAAAATGTTTTTTATAGAGCAGTTTGCGGCGATTTTCTCGCTGTGTAAAATCTTATAAATGTTTCCAAGAGTTTGGATGATTACAAGATAACATTAAAAATAAAAATTAAACATAGGGAAAGTTACTTTAGCAGTCTTAGCATCAATAATATTAATGTATCCTTTGCTAGTACCGGTGAAAATCCGCTTCCCTTGAATATCGTATCGACATACTAAAGTCGTACTAAAGACAAAGGTATCATTTGATAAAAAATTTGTTAAAGAAGTATTTAAGATAAAAAATTTTTACATTTACTTTGGTTTTGAATGTGTTTCCTTCTCATTCTTGTTACTATTTAGATCGCCTGAATCTTCGGAATTTGTTGGTATTTCGAGGAATTGAGTTTTTTCGGTAGAAATATCCACAATAACAGGTGGTTCCATTTTTAATGCTGCGACAAAGACCGAACTTGGATAATGATAAAAATACATGATAAATTTCAATTTGGATTAATCATAACGAAGAATAATATTTTTACTGACTTATTTCTCGGGTGCATTTGCGCCATACAAACTCCAGTTGCGAACGGGATAGTTCGAGAAATTGTTCCATGGAGCAGATCCCAATATATGCACTTGAAATCTTCACCAGTTGTTAAAAGATATCGTCCATTTCGAGACCAACTATACCAAAAAATCTTTACTTTTGGGGAGGCATCACAAGTCAAGGTAGAAGAACAAGGTTACCTCAAACTTGTCACCTTAGATACATGCCCTTTAAGTGTTCTTGCTACTCCCTTTGTGTCAAAATCCCAAACGTAGACATGACCCTCTAGGCAGCCAGCTGCTAATAAAGTACCTCTTCTATTGAAGCTCAAAACAACCACGTTGTGTTGACCATACAACTCTGATATTGTACACTCAATGGTCTCAGGGTAATCTTGCTCAAAAGGATCTAAACGCGAAACAAAGTTTTAGTTTCTACAAATACTTGAAATAGGGGAATTAACCTTACTTAAAAGTTCCAAGTTCATATCGAATTGGTATTGTGATAACCAAACAAAAAGCGTATTTCTTTTCGACTTGAATTCAATTATTCAGAAACTAATTTAGATACTCATTTTCTTATGATATTGTATATTTTATTTATAACATATTTTGTAATTTATCTGATATAAATTTTTAAATATGGAATTTTATTTTGATAAAAATTAAAAAATTATTGGTTAACTCCCTCATCTTGAAATACGAATCTGGACCGAGATCATATAATTAAATAAAAGGATTAATATTTAAAAAAAATTAGAAAGTTTCTTAATCAAATCATTTGTATAAAAAACCCATAAAGATTATCTTTGATTGGATGACCTATAAAAAGGTTCATTATTTCCTAGATGCAAACCAACAGAATTATTTATTATTGCAATTTAACAAATATTAAAATAAATCCATTTCTAGTGCGTTTAAATCCGAAGAAATAGCTTGATTTTATTAGGATGTTGGTCTTTATAATAAACTGATATTTTTTCGAAAAAAAATCTCCAAAGGTTGCAATCAAGTTCAATAGAATGTCGAAATTTTCAGAATCAACCATGAACTAATAGTATAAAGAACTCATCCGACTTACCTTGGTTTATCAAATTAAAAAATCTCGACATCAAAATACTACAATCTTCATGGAATTAGCGTCATGCCAGTCAATTCTTTTGTTTCTTGTAAATTTTGCTCTACATCTTCCGAAACGTATCGATCCAAAATCTGTCGTTTTCGTCTGCGCACTAAATATTCCTCTATTTCTTTTTGAGTCGGGACTGCGACGTGCGACACATATTTCTCGGCCGATTGATCAAGATCCATTCCTGTTTCCAATATCTCTTTTTCCTTGCGAATAATCAGGGGTGCTTTCCTTTTCGGTTGGGTTCTGTCCGGCGATTCGGCCGCTTTGGCGATAGCTGGAAAATTTAAAATCAGACTATATGCATGATAGGAGTTATTTTTAGGGAACCGAAATGTTACCTAGTTTTTCTTGATCACGTTCGTATTCTAAAAGAGCCCCATCCTCTTCGTCACGATAACCGTAATAATCCGCATCGACATTCTTATATAACTCGAATCGGCTTCGTTTCGATGGTTCAGGCGCTATATAAAGATTTGAAACTTCGACTATCAATATTACATCAGAATAAAAATTGATGAAGTTAAATGTAATATTTTACCATCTTGTTCAAATAATTCTCTTACACCTGGTAAATCTTTGGCTCGACCAAAGTATCTATAAATAAATCATAATGTTCTCAAAAAAAGGTGGGTCAATTTTTGAATAATCGTAAAAAAATATACTTGTATCCACGGTTTCCGGGGACTTCTCTACCCTCATAATCCATCATCTTTGGTCCTATTCGCTACGCAATGGGATGAAAGAGGTATGAATCAACATGAACTTCCTAATCCCAAAGGAAATTATTCAAAATGAATATCCGAACCCTATAATCGGGGCCTCCAAGTCTTTTTATTTGATCTTCCCAGTGACCCTTTTCTCTCATTAATTTATTGATTTCATCGTTAAGATCTCGGATTTGATAGTCAGACAGACCAGCTGCGAAGGAAAAAGAATGAGCAAATTATGCTTTAAGACATGAATTCATAAGAGATACAATCTAAAAATAATTACCATCCTGAATTTTAGATACTTTGCGAGAAATCTCCCGAATGATTTGCTGTCGCCATTTTTCAGCGTCTTTTACACTATTACAGTCAGATGCTAAATAAGGCCGACGTTCTTTTGGTTTTAAAAGTCCGAGTTCCGCAGCTTGAGCCTCACGGAACCGATATAGCATAGACCTTTGTGTGAGAGTGATGTTAAAGTAAATTGTATAAAAAAGTACGATGAAATTGCAGTAAAGTCATTTCCAAATACTCACTGAGCTTTTTCTTCATTACGAGCCTAAACTTTCAGAAATAAGTTCATTTGTTTTCAATCTGTTTTTAAATTTTCAACTAAAAGAAGATTGTAACTTTTCTCGAAACTCACCATCTCGAAGTTTCCAGTTTAAAAAAAAATTTTGTAGTTAGAAGCTTATTTTTTTTATTCCAGTTGCGTGATTGGCTCAGTATAATTTAAAATTATATAATTTTATGAACCGTCAATCATTATATGCTAACGGGGGGGGTTGGCGCAATGGTAGCGCGTCCGCCTCCAGAGCGGAAGGTTGGGTGTTCAAATCACTCACTCCCCACGTGACAGTCATGAGTTAGATTGGTAAAACTTTTCCCACAATTATACTAATTAATATCTCTGGAAATTTTCAAAATTCCAAAGCAGACATTATATTTTTGACCTTGAGCATCATTTTCAAAATGGAATATTTACCAAGTAAATTCAATATATTCTACTTTCTCAATCTAAAATATATTTCACTCTCATCATTCCTTTTGTTAAACTTTATGAAAAGTCTTGGAGGAACGTGAACGAATCGCCGAAGATGTTCTTACGAACCAACAATTGGTAACATCTCAACTCCTTTTTTATATTGTCACACCATAGAGAGGTGCTGGTCTTTCTATATGCACGTTAGATAGTAGACTACGACCGAAAACGTAACACAAATCGCGAGGCGTTAACAAAACTCAGAAGACAACCGGCCCACGAGAGAAAACTATGGGTGAATTTTGGTGATATGTTTATCAAGATGGAGAACGAAAAAGTGAAAACTTTGATCGAGAAAGGTATGATTGAGAATGTATATTGTGCCGAATTACATAATATTGATTTTTGAGCAGTTCAATTTTATGATTTCTACGAATGGTCCCATTCTGCCAATTAGACCAAAAGAACATTGACAAAGAAATCGACGCCGTCAGGGAGACGGTAAAGGAGAAAATGCTACAATTAGAGAAATTAGAAACTGGGGAGAATGAAAAAATGAAAGGTTTCAATTTGCGGGGTATGACAGCAAAAGAACTTTACAATATTACTGGATATCAAAAAGTAGACTCTTGATACACATGAATCGAATTTGTTTGCAAAAATTACTGACAAATACAAAATTGATTTACCAGCTCTTTCTCCTGTTTGATCAATAAGAAACCAACAATAATATGAGTTGATTTCTCGGTACCTCAATAATCTATATACCAATACAAAAAACTATATCCATAGCCTGAAAATTTCCTGAGCGAAAAGAATAAATGGAGGATCATAAAATATGCAATTTTCGATGACGTCAAGTACTGATATTTGAGATAAAAACAAAATAGCCTATGTGGTTCGATTAACCTAAAAGAAAGTTTAAAATTAATATAAATATAGGCTTGCAATGATCAAACAATATTCGAAAAACTAATGAAGGAAGTCAGATATGAATTTCTCTACAGCACAACCGTTTCAGGCAATGTAGATAAGGTATTTTAAAAGTAATCATCACATAATCGCTTGACCAAATTATATATTGTGTAATTATAACAAGGGATTGATTAAAAATTAATAAAATTAAATATGACCTACCCTTCTTTTTGGATACACCAACAGTTCGACCACGTCTTCCCGTAGTTTTTGTGTGTTGACCACGCACACGCAAACCCCAGTAATGACGTAAACCACGATGTGCACGAATCTTCTTCAAACGTTCCAAATCTTCACGGAGTTTACTTTCCAGTGAGTTGGCGAGGATTTGAGAATACTTGCCATCGAAAATATCTTTTTGCCTGTTTAAAAACCAATTGGGAATTTTGTATTGTACCGGGTTTTGAATGATTGTAACCAGTCGTTCCAATTCTTCATTAGATAATTCACCAGCTCTACATAGAAAATACATAAATTTTTGATGATAAGAATTATCGCGGAAAATAAATCGAGAATTAATTCATTATTGATTTTGAACCGTTTATGCAAATCCACATCTGCCTTCTTGCACACCAAGTTAGAGTAGCGTCGGCCAACACCTTTGATAGCCGTCAGGGCAAATTGTACCTTGGTCTTACCCCTATTTTAAAAAATTTGAGATCCAAATACGGGTCAATAGATAAAGGCGCAAAAATTAATTTAGATACTTACTCAACATTGGTGTTCAACAAACGAAGAATATGTTGGAACTGATTCTTGTCAGGGACGACGAGGGACTGTTAATAATTTTAGTAAAGAATAAAGTTTAACGAACGTTGGTAGAAAGTAGACCAGCTATGTTCGGCCTCTTTTTCCAATAAAATATCAAGTGTGTTGGAGAGGGAACTTATTTTAAAGATTCAGATTCACTACTTTCAGTTGCTTTGAGTTTTTAAGTTCAAAAATAATTTATCCATAGGGCGTTTCCATCCATCCATGAATCAAAAATTTTTACAATCCAAAAACCAACATAACATGCGATTAAAGTACTTACCATCTTTGATAAAAAGGATATTTTCTCGACGATAAGGAAAAAAGAAATTTAATACAATTTTGATCGTTATGACAGATCTGTTACCCAGCTTTGATGAATCAGATGATTATAAATCATCAGTGTTGACGCAATACAACTTCGAATAAGAAAACTATTTTTTCAGTTTCGTAATAATAAAAATTGAATAGTAAAAATTGATTGTTTGTAAAAATATATTTTAACAATTAATTTATATTTATTAAAAATTATTTTAAACCTATTTTACAAAAATTTAAGTTTGCAAAATTCCAAAATTCCAAACGTAAAATTTTTTGTAAAATCTTATTTTGATAATAATTAATTAAAAAATTATTATTATTATTATTATTATTATTATTATTATTATATTACATAATTAAAAGTTGTATATAATAAACTTTAATATATTAAAATATTAAAAAAATGACAACTAGAACAAAAAATAAAAAAGTTACAATTAAGTAACTACTATATATAACTAAAAATAAATAACTCTTAAAAATAAAAAACTTTTTTTTTGTATTTTTATAATTATAACTAGAACAAAAAATAAAAAAAAATTACAATTTCTTTATTTTTTAAAGCAAATAATAGTATTTTTACAAGTAAAGTGCTTACAGATATTAAAACTGTTTAATAACACTTTGTAAAAATATTTTTTTTTAAATAAAATAGTAATAAACCAGTTTTTAAATGATTTTAAAATATTATTTTTGTTTTTGGTTAAAGATTTTTTTTTTTTAAAGTTTTTTAAAAAAATTTATCTAAAATAGTTTTAATATAATTTCTGTTTTCTTTAAAAGTCTTAAAATATTTAATAAAAAACTAATAACCAAATTATTATTTATTATTTTTTTTTTATTGCTGTTTAAATAATTAATTAACCAAAAACATTTTTTTAAATTTTTGTTATATCTAATAACAACTCTTTTAAAATGTTAAAAAAATTCTTTTTTAATAGTTTTAATGTTATTTTTAATGTTTTAAACTTGGTTTTTTTTGTAAAAAATAAAGTTTTAATTTTTTTGGCTCTTTTGTAAATTTTGTATTAATAATACTAATTATAATATTTAATTCTATGATGATTATAAATAAAAAACAATTTTTTGTTCTAAATAATAGCAATAAAAACATATTAGTTTATTTTGATTTAAATTAATTTTAATTGTATTATTTAATATATTGATTTTAGTTAATTATTACTAGTTTTAAATACAAAACAAATTATATTTTTGCATATGTTTTTACTTAATTAACTTATTAAATTATTTGATTTTAAAAATTGAATTAATCAAATATATATTTTTTGTTTTCTGGTAATATTTAAAAAATAATTGTTAATTAAATAAATAATTTTTATTTTAATAATTAATATTTTTTTTTAAATTTAAATTAACTTTTATTAAACTTGTTTTTTAGTTTATATATAATTATATTAATATAAAATTAAGTTTAATATAAAAACAATTTATATTTTATTTAAATTATTGTTTTTTTTTGTATTATTAAAAAATTTAAAAATATTAATCAAGAAAAAATTGTTAAACTTATTTTAAACTTTTTTTTATATTGTTAATTTTGTTTTTTAATTTAGTTTTAATAACAATAAAAACTAAATTACCTATAATTTGTTTTATAAAATTGTTTATTTTTAAACCAAATTATTTATAAAAAAAATAAAATAAAAAAATTACTTTTAACATATAAAAAATTTAATTTAAATAGCACAATATTAAAAAAGTTTAAAATTTTTATTATTTTAACTTATAAATTATTTAATTTTAATATAAATAAGTTAAAAACACCAAAATTTAAAAATAATAAATTATTAATTTTAATAAAAAAATTATTTAAAATTATATTTAAGCTTAAGACTAATACTAAAAAACAACAATAATTTAAATTTAAAAAGTAAACAAAGACAATATATTTAACTTAAATAACAAATTTATAATTTTATTTAAAAACAGTTTTAAATTTTTTTAATTTTAAAACAAATAATAAAAAATCTAATAAGTTGTTAATTAAATCTGTATTAAAACTATTAAAAAATTAAATTTACTATTTAAAATTTATTACTAAAAGTTATAAAATAGAAAATAAATTTTTATTATATAAATACCAATAAATTAAATTTAATTAGTTAAATAATAAATAAACTTCTTTCTCTCTTATCTTCACAAATCCCCAAAAAGCACATTTTCTGGGAAAAGAAGTTTTTCATTTTTTTAGTCTATATTAATATTTTTTTACTTAATAGTAACCCATTTTTCGTGGATATAGAGGCTACTGCTAGTAGCACTGCATCTAAGAAAAAAGCTCCTAAGAGTGCTTTTCAAGGTCCTGCTGGTGGCTCCTTTTCTTAGAAGAAAAAGGTTGTTCTTGGCAATATAAAACATTCTGGTGATAAAAAAAATATATTCTTAAGCAAAGCTAGATCTAGTGGCAGTGTGTATTCTGATGTGGAGAGTCTCTCTGGTGAGGATGAGAATGTTAGCATGTCTGAAACAAATGGTGGATTTCTTTTGGGTTCAGCAGCTACTACATCCAAGACAAAATGAGTCAACACTGGTGCTGGTTTTGGTTCTCCACTTGGCTCTCCTAATTTTCATATGAATGATAATGAAGTTGTGCTCTCTTCTCGCTTGCCTATCTCTTTAGAGAAAAAATGGATTGACCCTAAAATTATCAAGACTCCTGTGGAAGTATCAGTTAAAAAGTTATTTGCTTTGGATATTAATCTTTCAGCTGTGGAGGGTAAATTGGCAACAGCTAAAACTCAGTTAATTAGAAAAATTTTTTCAACAGTCAATGGTTTTGGGGAGGCCACTACCCTCTCAAAA